GACGTAGTCGTCGCCGCCCTTGAGATGCAAGAGGTTGGCGAATTGGAGAGAGTTGAGCGCCGTGTACTCGCGGACGCCGAGCTCGGTGCACGGCGCGAACGGCGAGACGGTCGGGAGCTTGGCCTCTGTTTGCATTTCAACGGCGTTGGCAAAGGACGGGCAGAGACCGCGGACGTGTGGCACGAGGAAGATGCTGACGATGACCGCGACGAGCGCACCGAGGACGGCGCCGGCACCGACCGAGATGTACGTCAAGTTGTCTTGGTACGCTGGCGCCTTGGAGAGGTCGGCTAGCAGCCGGGACTTGGAAAAGATAATGACCGCGACCGAGAAGACGCCGAGCGCGTAGAACCACGGGAGGAAGAGGAGGGCGCGGTAGCGCGGCGACGACGAGTTGAGGATGAAGCGGGTCGTGAACGAGTACGCGACGACCGACATGACGCCGGCGAAGAGCGGGCCGAGCACCCACGAGAGCACGATACTAAAGATGCCGTTCTGAACACTTAGGTTGAAGCAGTCGCCGCCGACGTTGAGAAGCGTCATGCCAATGACGCCGCAAATGACAGCGTGCGTCGTCGAGACGGGCATCTTGAGCGCCGTCGCGATCAAGACGAACGCGGCGCCCGAGAAGAGCGCAGCGAGCATGCCGTTGGCGTACTCGTACTGGAGCGAGTTGGTGTAGCCGTTGGCCCAGCACCGTCCGTCTCTCGACTCGGTGAAGAGGTTGCCGACTTTGACAGAAATCGAGTCCTTGAAGCTGTACCCGAGCGAGATAGCACCGAGAAAGTCGGCGAGGCCGCCGACGAGGAGCGCTTGGTGCACGGGAAGCACCTTGCAACCCACGAGGTTACCCATCGTGTTGGCTACGTCGTTGGCGCCGGTCGCAAAGGCCATGAGGAACATGCCAATGCCACCAACAATGACCTCCCACGTCGGCGTCTGGAGGCTGTTGCGGACATAGTCGGTGGCGCAACTCGTCGCGTTGGCCCTGAAGGCGCACAGGATGAGTCCAGTAGCTCCGCTCATCGCAACGAAAATCGTGATGTGTGCGAGTAAACGTACGTACTTGTAGGTATAGACAAGGTGCAGCGACACCTGTGGTATGCACGGAATCCTGCCTGTGGCACTTGTCCATTGTGAGATTCAAAGCAAGTCAATTTGCGAGAGTTCCCCGTGGACCAGGCCAGGTGGTAGATTCGGGGGATGGGTACCACATACGTTTTGCTTGATGTTTCCAAGCGACCGAATCTAGTCGACGGCAATGAAGGAGCAGCTCGTCGAGTCAAGTATCTTTTGCGCTTGCTACTCGCACTATGGCAACCTCGACGCGATTACGCCAGATACATTTGCTGGTTTAACGGTCGCCTTCGACTCGACGTGCTGCGAGCCAGGCACGTCCGGCGTCATATCCGTGCTGGCATCAGCTGTCGTCAGGTGAAGTAAGGCGCGTAAAATGCAGGCATTTTGAAGCGGAACGGATTTTGATTTTGACCTTGCCATAGACCTCGTCGTGTCCACCCTCCATCGTCGTTGTCAGTCGTCGCCGTGGTACTTGGTACCTCCTTGAGCAGAAAGACCCGCGGTAGCATAGCCGCACCCAAGGTCGCCGCGTTGTATCCACTGGCCACCAAGTGAGCTGCGCTTCTTCGGGGTTCATTACCAACCACGGCAAGTGCAATCTCGGCGCTGACCACTTTGCCTTTGGTTGCTCCTCACATTGCAAAGGTGTGGCCACTGTGAGTCGATGGCAGAAGCTGTAGGGGACGGCCTTCTCATAGTCGAATACATAACTGATCCATGTACCTAGCATCCTAGTTCGTGCATCTGAACCCTTTCACTCTACTAGAATCTCGTCCGCGTGAGCTGTCGGCGTGATGTGTAGTGTTTGATGGTTCTAACCTGCGGGTGTATGCGGCTAGAATAGGCACCAGCTGCGACCTGCAATCCAATGTGCCGCAGTGTACAGTGTCTACTGCTTGTGTATAGAATGTATAAGGCGTGCTCCACCGAGCCATCGAAATATGCCATGGCTTTGGTGCGGCAGCAACGAGTAAACTTGGAGCGTGCAACGCGAGTGTCATGTCATCCCCACCAGATCCCGGCCGAAGGGCTACCCACACGACATGACATCGGTCTAATTTGACCGACGAGTTGAGCGCATAAATACTGATGTACATGAGGCAAGTTTATACGGCAGAACTACTTTTGAAGCGCGCTGTTCATGATGGCAGCGAGGCCGGCCGAGAGACCCATCGTGACGGGCAGCGTCAGAATCCACGTCATGACGACAAAGAGGAGACGCTTCTTCTCGAGGTGCTGCGTGCCGTAGTGGGCCAGACTCACGCTGACGACGGAACTGACAGCGCAGTACGTCGACGAGACGGGAAGCCGGAGCACGTTGGCGAGGGCGAGCGTCACGATCGTACCCATCTCCATGCAAAAGCCGCGGTGGACGTTGACGATCGAGAGACCGCGGGCCATCGTGTCCATGACCGGGCGACCAAAGAGGTTGATACCGACGAGACCGCCGACGCCTGCTACGACAAACATCCAGTACGGGGCGTCCCACTCCGAGTAGCTCACGGCCACTTGGGCGCCAGCGTCGTTGGTGCGGTACACCTCCTTGGAGATCGTGTAGATGACTTGCATCGGGATCGTCGAGTTACCGACATCCGTCGCTCCGTGGAGGAACGAGCCGAGGATCGAGGCGAAGAGGAGCGCGTACTTCATGGCGAAATGCGCGTCGATCTGCTCGTCCGTGAGGCAGTAGGCGTCGGCAATGAGCTCCATCGACGTCCGCCCGACCGCGTTGATCTGGTCGTCGCCGAGCGTGCATACATAGTCGTCACGGATATGCATGAGGTTGGAGAACTGAAGCGACGTCAACGCCGTGTACTCGCGGACGCCGAGCTCGGTGCATGGTGCGAACGGCGAGACGGTCGGGAGCTTGGCCTCTGTTTGCATCTCGGCCGCCTTGGCGAACGACGGGCAGAGTCCACGGACGTGCGGCACGAGGAAGATGCTGACGACGGCGGCGACGATGAGCGCGAGGCCAGCGCCGACACCGATCGCGATACCGAGGAGGTTGTCCTGGATCGTCGGCGAGTCGGAGATGTCGACGAGGATCCGCGACTTGGAAAAGATAATGACCGCGACCGAGAAGACACCAAGCGCGTAGAAGAGCGGAAGGAACATGAGCGAGCGCTGGCGTGGCGACGACGAGTTGATGATCGCGCGGTTGGTTGCATGGTACGCGATCACCGAGATGATGCCGGCGAAGAGCGGGCCGAGCACCCACGAGAGCACGATACTGAAGATACCGTTGAGCACCGAGAGGTTGAAGCAGTCGCTGCCGACATTGAGGAGCGTCATGCCAATGACACCGCAAATGACAGAGTGCGTCGCCGACACGGGCATCTTGAAGGCCGTCGCGATCAAGACGAACGTTGCGGCCGAGAAGAGCGCGGCGAACATACCGTTGGCGTACTCGTACTGGAGCGAGTTGGTGTAGCCTTGCTGCCAGCACGACCCGTTGGGGCTGCCGTTGCTCTCGAGGAGGGAGCCGACCTTGGTCGCAATCGCGTCCTTAAAGCTGTACCCGAGCGAGATGGCACCGAGAAAGTCGGCGAGGCCACCGATGATGAGCGCTTGACGCAGCGGCAGCACCTTGCAACCGACGAGGTTGGCCATCGTGTTACCAATGTTGTTGGCGCCGGTCGCAAAGGCCATGAAAAACATGCCGAACGCGCCGACAATGACCTCCCACGACGGCGTCTGGACGAGGAGCGATGTGTAGTCGGCCGCGCAGCCCGGCAAGTTGCTGTAGGCGCAGAGCACTGTCACATTCGCCGACATGGTGGAATACGTCTACGGGCACATGAGTTTCCTTTGCGTTGGGAGAGGAAGCAGCGTACCGGTCAACTCTTTGCCGAGGGCGACGGACGTGGAATGAGGAAAAGCCGTTCGTTCGAAGTCGTTGCAGAAACCACAGGCGTCGGGTGGCGCGCTGTTGCGCTCCTACCGTACTTGGCGCCAGCTGTGACCCTTCGCCGACCCGTCGCCGTCGTTGATTGGTCCGCTGTCATGTTTCGCGTGTCATTCGATGTCTTCGAACTTCGTTTATTGTTTAAAACGCGATTTCATTGGTTGAAAAACGAACGTCGAAGGCAACCAGAGTGGAAGGGCGGCTGGTGTAATGCGTCTGAGCACGGGCAACGCTGCAAGAGATGGGCACAGCAGCCGTGTCGCCGAGGCCGCGCGCGTAGAGTCGTCACGTCTCGTACGCATCGCGGAGCGAGCGACGGCCGGGCGCAAAGCTTCGATTTTCGATGGTTTGGGGGCCGCCTTTGCGCGAACATTAGGCCATCTCGGGAGGTCGGCAGCAGACGCACACCATTCATTTTGCATTGAACGATGCCATCTGCAGCAGACGCTTCGCCATATCACACTCTGGACCATATGCAGCAACGAGCACGCATCACGTTGGTGCGCCAAACGGCAATTTGAGATTTCAGCGGCGAGCCTCTACGCCACAAGTGGGGTGTGTATCGCCGTGAAGCAGCCAGCCAGCTGGACGATCCCAGAAATGAACCAGCGGCTTCAATGGCCTGCGGAGGACACGCAAAAACCGACCAGGGATGTCGCGTCTTTGCCGCCTCTGGCGGTGCGACTCGGAACAATCGCAGAAATGTGATGTTTTTTTGTGCAGAGCCACTTTCTTTGCGGGCAAGCTATCTCTCGTGACAGGATTCCGATGGCTGCTAGTTCGACTGCAGAAGCAAGGTCCATTGACCCTTGGTGGAGAGTGCCCACTGCCTTCCACACCTCGCCAATACAAACATCCAGGGCAGGCGAGGAAACGGAGCTGTTGGATGGCGAGCTTCGAAGGCCGACGCCGCCGACGGGGATGTGCTGACACCCGTTGGCTTCGTAGCTGCTGTGGATGACAACTGTACTTGTCGTTGAGATTGCTCGAGAAGAGAAAGCCTCTGCATGGTTCGGTTCCGAGTTCATTAGGAGGTAGAGGAGACATCTTCGACGAAGTTAGTCAATGAAGAAAAGCTTGTCGTCGAACCAGCGATCAGGTCAACGTATATGTACATTCAGGTATATAGATATATGTACATTCAGGTATATAGATTACGGTGGCCCAAGGGTATGGGCCAAGAAGTGCTTTGACGAAGCACGTCGTCGCTTCGATCGAAACGCGTGCTGGTCCGTTGGTGGTTAGTGCACCATGGTGGTGGACGCGGGCCGGGACCGCATCGCTGCGTTGTAGTGCAGCTGGAGCTGGAGCTTGCCTTCGCCCAGCGTTTGCTCGAGCATGACTTTGGTCCCTTCGATCTTCTCCAGGACGTCGCGGGCGGTCGCGCCATAACGCTCGGCCACGGGGCTCGTCAATTCCGTCCACGTCGCCGACCACGTCGAGAAGAAAGATTCAAGTTGGCTCGTGAGGCTCTGCGCCGCCTCGTCGGCCCGGGCTTCGAGCTCCGTCGACTTTTCCTCCAACGTCGTTGGGTCCAGCGGCGCCTCGGCCGCGTACAATGTCGCCGTCAAGTCGCGCACGTGCGTCTGCAGCTCCAAGAGCGTGCTGGAGAGGGCCGCCGAGAGCCGCGCGACCGCGTCGGCGACGGACGTTGGCAGCACCATCGTTCTTCGTGGGTCTGGCTCGAAAATCGTGTGTCGGTAGACAGGCGCACGCTCGAAATGGCGTTTTTCTTTCTGGGTGGAGAAAGGCGGCGTGTGGCGCCGCCACGTCATTCTATGACGCGTCTTCCGTCGTCATTGGGCTTGACAAAGGTCGTCGTCGACGCGTTCCTGTGATGTTGAATAGCTGATGATGGGTTGGCGGCGCTTGCAGGCACCAGTCACACGAGGCAAACGCCGTCGTTGGGCGCCTCAAAAGGCACCGTTGCGACACTGAGTTGCCAGTCTTGCCATTCCAACCGGCAGACGCGTTGAGGACTGTGTCATGGACACGACCAGTGACTTGGACACGAGACGCCATGACGGTTTGCTTGCGCCGAGCCGTTCGAATCGACTCTCTCTTATCTCATTCGTCGATACATGGGCAACGCAACAAGTGCCAAGGGGTTGTCTTGTATGGAAAACGGAGTGGGCATGCGATGGATGTTCATGCTTCTTTCAAGGTGTACTACTAGTACACAAGACGAGCGACAGCCGTCCGGTAAGGATGGCAGAGCCCGTGGGCCAATGCAGCGGTCTCCCAACCCGACGTAGCGCCAAAGCTACACCGACCTGATGGTGGTGCGGAACCCGGCACAACAAGAAAGGACTGAAGGCCTCGACGGCCTTTGTACGCGGAAAAGCGTACTAGTATGAGCGTAAAATCGATGTATTTAACTAATTGCAATCGCAGGGCGCTGAAGACACTGCCTTTTGTCGCTTTAGCATGGAGAATTGGAGATTCCTACGGATACTAGTGAACAGTAGTCTGGATCATGCAGGCATCCTGTGTGCATTGCTTTCATTAAACGCTGTGTACGATGCGAAACGAGTTGTTAGTTGGAGAGGATGTCGAGAGGTAGGGCTGCTCGCTGTCAGCAGGCAAGATCACCTTTCGGCGTTTCAAGCTTATCCGGATGACGTGGCACTGCCAGGCTACCCGTACAGTTTGGATCTGGTTTGGGACGACATCCACAAGCCATGGTTTGCGATTTGGCCCATCGATGTGGCACCGCAAAGTAGCTGGACTCTCGCCACATACAAGCCTGTACACTGTCATACCCTCATACCTCGTTGCTCGTCCAAGGTACTATCCCAACCCAGAGCCAAATCAATAACTGTACTAGTCCCAGTCTACCACAAGCCATGGTCGCCGCCCTCAACGCCGGGTTCGTCAACCTCCAAGGCTGCGACGTATATTGTCCATCTTAAGTGTCAGTCGCAGACACCCGCCTCTAAATGCCCGTCCAAGCGACAGCCGCGACAGCGTTCAGCGTTCAGCATCCGCGACGCAAACGTACAGTGCTCTAAGCCACGTCGGGCGGCGTAGATGGAAGCTTCTTGCCATAGTGGATGCACCAAAACGCCAAGGTCGAGGTGGGGAAAGGCGGCCGTGCCAGCCAATGTGACCAACGACTCGTTCGATACCCATGTTACCGTGAACGACTTGTGTACTTGAATGCGTTCTCTGCCTCGTTGCAAAAGCTCGAGGCAAGATCGCCACGGCTTCAGTCAACTGGAAACACCTGGGCGCGCCGAGAACGTTCGTGGGCTGCGTCGTGGAGCCCTGTCCCGTGACGCAGCCCCTCGACATGCGGCCGTTAGTCCGTTGCCGTGGTTCGATCTTGTTCACGTCCGCTTCCCAGCTTGGTTGTTTCTCGCGACCGTTGGGGCCGCGCGACAGGGACCTTTGGCGTGTCGAGGACGACAAAAGTACTCACTTTTGCTTTTGCCTGCCATGTCGGACACGACCAAGACCAAGACGACGCCGTCGGACGACGCACACTCGATGTTTGAATCGGCGCGCACCAAGGTGATGGACACGGTGCACAGCGCCGAAGACTCGGTGCAGTCGACCTTCCACGGCGCCAAGACCACGGTCATGGACAAGGTGCACAGCGCTGAGGACTCGGTGCAGTCGACCTTCCACGACGCCAAGACCAAGGTGGTCGATTCGGCGTACAGCGCCAAGGACAAGGTGGTCGATTCGGCCTACGGCGCCAAAGACAAGGTGGTCGACACGGTTTACAGCGCCAAGGACAAGGTGGTCGATTCGGTCTACGGCGCCAAGGCCTCGACGGAAGACGCGGCGGGAGATGCGGCGGACAAGGCCCGCGAGCTCAAGAGCCAGGCGGCGGACAAGGCGTATGACGCGAAGGACATGGTCTCGGACAAGGCGAGTGAGATGCAGTCCAAGGCCTATGACGCCAAGGACAAGGTCTCGGACAAGGCGAGTGAGATGCAGTCCAAGGCCTATGACGCTAAGGACAAGCTGGTCGGCAAGGCGGGCGAGGCCAAGGACGAGGCCAAGGATAAGACCCACGAGCTCCAGGAAAAGGCCTGCAAGGTCAAGGATGAGGCCAAGGACAAGGCGTCGAGTGCCGCGGGCGAGGCCAAGGACAAGACACGCGATCTCCAGGACAAGGCGGGCGACGCGGCCGAGAGCGCCAAGGACAAGGCGTCGAGTGCTGCGGGCAAGGCCAAGTCCAAGGCACAGGACGCGGCGAGCGACGACGCGCCGTAGGTGGCCCATGGTGGCGTTGGCGCCAACAGTAGGAAGTAGCCATACGGCCTCTTGCGGCTTCATTTAAGGCCAACGTGAATCCACTGCATTGAGCATTGCGCTTGCTTTTGCGTCCGCCTTGTGATGGGTGACTTTGCCGTTGTACTTCAACAACGCTTCACGCAGCTAACACGGTCGATCATGGTGGAGGAACCGAGCGCAAGGACTCAACTTCACCGCCTCCTACCTCCTGATTGCTTTGGCTCTTGGTGCGACGATGTTGGCGTCAACGTTCTCATCCTCACTGGCGACGTCGGCGCGTCGTTTTTGGAGCAACTGCGGTGTCCGGATAAAATGACGTGGAGCGGCCGTGTGTCGGTGCTATGCACCCACTCACCTGCCTGATGCTAGTCACTTCCCATTTTGATACAAAACCCAACATGTCAGCGCCGGAACAACACGAGACTCTCCTAGAAGCGTTCCAGCTCTCGGCCGCCCACATCTCGGCCGCCCTCACGGCCACGCTGACCGACTTGCACGCGAGCGTGACCGAGACGACGACCTCGTACGTGACCAAGGTGCACGACACGACCGCGAGCGTCGCGTCCAACGTGACCGAGACCAAGGCCAGCCTCCAAGCGTCGCTCAACGAGAAGACGCAAGTGCTCCAGGAGCGCGCGGATGAAGCCACGAAGGAGATCACGCGCATGCTCAACGAGCTCACGGCGCAGGCGCAGCAAAAGTGGACGGACGCCAGCGGCGCGGTCTGCGAGCACTACACGGCTGCGACCCAGGACCTGTACGAGAAGGCTGAGGCGGCCAAGCGCCAGGTGCAGCAGGCACTTGAGGAAGGCAAGAGCCAGCTGCAGCACCAGTACGAGGCCGCCTTTAAGGCCGCTGAGCCCGCCGCCGAGCCCGCGGCCGAGCCTGCCGCAGCGCCGTAACTCTATATCTTTAACATTCGGTGTCTCGATTCTTCTTGTCTTTGGCGGCAAGCTGCACGGATGGCTTTTGGGCGCCATATTGATATTGGATCTGCACAGCGCGCTATAAAAGCCCATATGTACTGGCAATATCAAATATTGCTCATAATCTTGCGAATATCGGTTGGCCGGTCGCCCAATCGTGGGGCAGAAATGTCTTGGATATTGACCAATGAACATCGGATCATTGCCAGGTTTCGTGGGCGAGGATGAACCGGCCGAGCCGGAAGCAGGTCAAGGCCGCGGCTGCGGGAGCCTTTGCCGACCTCGCGGCGACGGTTCGCACCTCGGACGAGACGAGCGACGTGGGCGAGGGCTCCGACTTTGAGCTGCCGAGCGTGCTCGAGCGCCGGGCGCCGCCAAGCCGCCCGACGCGCTTCAGGACACCGCGGGCGGTCAAGCCGGACGTGGACGAGACGCGTTGCGACGACGTGGCCATCTGTGGTCGGGCGTGGGGCGAGTGCACGATCGTGCTGCATGAAGACCGGCACGAGCTCGGTGTCCAAGCGGTCGTCCGAAGCCAGTCACGGCTAGCGATGCCCAAGACGCCCGCCGACCTCAAGACGGAGTACGTGCCATTTGGCGACATGCGGGCGATTCGGTACGTCTCGCCTTGCTCCACCATGATGAAGTCGCGCGCTAGGGTTCTCGATGCGAAGCTTCTCGTCGTGCTGGACCTGCCCGCCACGTCCCGCCTCTGCATTGGCAACGACGACAACCATATCGTACTCAGATTTGCAGACGAGCTCGGGTACCTCCTCGTGCGTGGGTCTCTCGAGCGGCACCTCGGCCGGCAACCCCATCCGATCGCGTACGTTCCATGTTGTCTTCTGGCCCACATGCGCTCAGGATGTTGTAGCGCCGAGGACGTGCCCAGCTACCTCAGCCATCTCACCCGCAAGGGTCCCGCGACGCGCAACGGCAAGCGCAAGTCATGTACGCTCTCGCGTATCGATCATGCTGGGTCATCGTCTTGCGCTAGTGTTTGATCCTGCACCGACGGAGCGGTCGACTCGGTCGGCGGCGACGCTGGACTTTATGCACGAGGGTACTTTGACGACCTTTGCACGCAACGAGACGATCGAGATCCACGAGCCCGAGTTGCCGGCAGCCCGCGGGGTCGGGTCGCGGACGCGGTCGGAGCTCAAGAAGCGCGACGAGGGCAAGTCGCAGGAGGCGAAGGACCGGGTCGTCGTGTGCTACCCGCTCCAGTCGCACAGCAAGTCACGCATTGTGCTCACGGAAGGCGACATTGACCGCCTCCAGCCCGGCGAGTTTCTCAACGACAACCTGATCGACTTTTTCTTCAAGTATCAACTTGATACTGTCTCGAGACCTCAGGGGCCAATAGGTTTTGCCATGCGCAACTCAACAAGCCGGCGAAAGCGACGACGCACTTCTTCTCGACGCACTTTTACTCGGAAGTCGCCAAGGCCGAAGACGGGACTTTTGCCAAGGTCAACCGCTGGACGCGCGCGACGCCCATCTTTGAGAAGCGGTTCTTATTTGTGCCCATCAACGACAAGTCTCGCCTTGGCCTACATCTAGCGTCGTCTCATGGGACTGCGTAGCTGCCACTGGAGCCTGGCCGTGATCTGCCACCCGTCCGGTCTCATCAAGACAAAGCCACAGCCCGTAAGCTATCGAGTGTATAACAAAGTAGGTATACCGCGGTGTAGGTTGTTTTGGACGTTGACGACGATGACGACGACGATGCGATTGTCGCCGAGAGCCAAGACCCCGAGACCGCGCCCGCCAGCGTGGATCCCGTGTCGTCTCAGCCCAGCAACGTGCCCTGCATTCTCTACTTTGACTCGCTTCAGTGCCACAACAAGACCAAGATCACCGCCAACCTTCGCCGGTACCGACGTTGTACCCAAGGAGCTCCTTCCAAGTCATTAGGTTCCTCGAGAGCGAGTACGCATCGCGCTTCCCAAACGACCTGAACACGGTTTTCGATGCGTCGGATGCAGTTTTTGTCGAGCCCGAGGTACTTGCAGCGTATGACTTGTGGTATCTCACCTCTCTCTCGACCGTAGGTGCCACGGCAGAGCAATAGCTGTGACTGCGGAGTGTACCTCTTGCTCTACGCGCTCCAAGTGCTGCAGCAGTTTCCGGACGGTATCTTCCTCCGACACGTGGCTGCGGCGTGCGACCCGCAGTTGACACCCACCATGTTTGACACGGACGTCGTCACCGAGCACCGGGACTACATGCACCAAGTTCTGCTCTCGCTCAGCACCTTTCAGCACCGCCGGTACGAACCTCAAAATTCTTAGTTTCTGAGTTGGGTGGGTTAGCGTCCATGATTCGTCGGCGCAGCTGGCGCGGGAGGGTCTCCAGCTATTTACCGACCCCAAGACGACAACGAAGGAAGAGTATGTGGTGTAGTAAGCTTGCTAACAACTTCGACTACCTCGGCAGCAAGAGCAGAAGGCGGCGCAGACCAGCGACCAGCATGTCGCGTTGCGTTGTCGTCGGGAGTTCGAGGTCGAGCGACCGCTTCTCCGTGAGGATCGAGAGACACACTGCGTCTTTGGCTGCGTCTTTGGCCACCTTGGGGGCCAGTGCGAGCGACGTCCCGCCCGGAACGACCGCCGTCACGTCCTTGAGCGGCATGCTGCGCGGGTGGTCTTTTGCGTTAAAGTGCTTCTTTGGGTTTTGCTGCAGCGTCGACGCCGGTGTCCACGAGAGCACTTGCGTCGCGACGTTAAAGCGCAAGACCGAGGCGTGTGGAGCCTTGTCCTTCCCGCTCTGGTTGTGCTTGAGGACGTCCATGCCGCGGTAGAGGAGCTCACGGAACCCAACGTGCACGCAGTCGTCTCGGCGCTGGTCGTCCTTGGCCGGCAGCTCGGACAGCGTCGACGCCAGCTACCAGACTCGATTCAACCGACCTCCAAGATCGAGGTTGTACCCAGGGATGGGCCAAAAGGTCGGTGGCCGTCATGCGCTCGGCCGGGTCGATGGCTAAGAGCCGCAAGATCACGTCTTGCGCGTCCGGCGACACGCACTGCCACTGCGGGTTCGACGGGTGGAGGCAGCTCATGTCGCGCATGTCGCCGGCCTCGGAGAAGCGCTGGATCTGCTGGAGCGCTGCCGCCGACGCGACGGTGAACGGGAACGCGCCAAACAAAAGCACATACGTGACGACGCCGAGGCTAAAGAGGTCCGACTGCGTGCCTACATGCGATTTGGATACTTGCTGGATAGGATACTAGGATAGATGGATACCGTAGGGTCGACCGTAGAGGAGCTCGGGCGCCGCGTACTCGGGCGTGCCACAGCCCTTCTGAAACTGCATCGTCGGGTCCAGAATGCGCTTGGCGAGGCCAAAGTCGGCGAGCTTGACCGAGTCCTTGTGCAAGAGTATGTTTTCGGGCTTGATGTCGCTACCCAACGACAGATACGTCGACGATGCATGGCAGAGACAAGTTGTCCATGGCATGGCGTACCGGTGGATGATGTTGAGCGCATGAATGTGCTGGATGGCGGACGCGACTTGGGCGATGATGCGGCGCACGTCGTCTTCGGGGAACCGCGTCATTTGGATGAGCCGGTCGCAGAGGTCGCCGTCCGCCATGTAGTCCATGACGATGTAGAACATGTCGTCTGTCTTGTAGACGCCGTGCAGCCCGACAATATTGGGGTGGGACACCTAAGACGACTCAGATCGCTGCATGATTGGAGAACGTACGAGCTTGAGGATGGCGACTTCTTCGAGCAGCGACGGCGTGTGCTTGGAGCACTTGATCGCACACACCTCGGCGGTCATGCGGTCGACGCCCTTGCGCACGACCGAGAAGCTGCCTTCGCCAATCTCGCCCATCATGACGTACTTGTGCAGAAACGTCCGGTAGTAGGGCGGGTCGGGCGTCGCGCTAAAGAGGAGGTCCTCGGCGTTGTGCGTTGGGATGAGCGACGCCTTGCGGTGCTTGGCCGCGTCGTCGCGCCGCTTGAGGAGCTCGAGCTTGGCGCCAATGTCGGTGATCCACGCGCTCGCTTCGTCGGCGGACGCGGCCTTGAGCACGACCGGGTCTTCGACCTTGAGCCACGAGTCGTCGGTTTGGACCACGTTGACGTGGCGCAGCACAAACGTCGTCGGGCTCAGCACTTCGAGCAGCGTGAAGAGGCTGAAGAGCACCTCGAGCGAGGCCACATGGGCGTCCTGCGCAGCGTACCCGAGGAGGCCATGGTCGCGGAGGCGAAAGTACTTGTGCTTGAAGGTCGCGCTCTTGACGAAGCCGAGGCCGACGCGGTGCGTGAGCGAGCCCGCGCGGTACTTCTGCTTGGACGTCGGCGAGAGCAGCTCCTCGGTCGGCAGCAGCATCGGCGGCGCCTCGACGTCGATCACGATGCCATCGGTCGGCGTCGCCATGGCCTTGAAACGGAAATATCGGAATCTTGCGGCGCCCGAGTGCTCATTGGTGGAAATTCCAAAGAAAACGGGTCCAACTAATACGTCATACATGGTTAAACGCAAAACGCGTTAAACGTGCTGCCGCCAAGTCGTGCTCGTTTATCGCTCTGCGTGTGAGCGCGAGTCCAGTGTGTATAAGCTTACATGCACTAGGTGGCAGCAAGGACTTTGTATCGTGGCTTTTGCTCTCGTACACGAAAAGGCTTGGTGCGTCCAATGTTCGACGCGTAGGTTAAAGTGCACAGGGACATGCGTAGGGCAACGCATCAACTTCAAGTGGTCGATCGTTGGCACCAGCTGCTGCACGTGACAGGCCGCGACAGCTCGCCCTCTCGCCTCGAATCGCAAGATTTGTGTACCCCGGGGCGCCATATAGCATGCATGTGCTCGGTGTTTGCACGGCTCGTGGCTTTCCCGCTCCAAGCCACAAGCCATAATGGCGGGAAACGCGACTTGACCTACATTCCGAAACCTCTCAAAATGCATACCCCAACCGCGTTCAACTTGCCAACTTGATATTACCCAAATAGCCGATGCGGTTGCACGCGTTTTTCACGCCGGATTTGCATGACGACGAGCTTGCAGTCCCGATACGAGGAAGCCCTGGGAAGAGGGAAGGTGAATGGGAGCTACCTGCTGCAGGTCGACTTCACGGACGTCAACTTCCGGGCGTATCTCGCACGGGCATCTCGTCGGCGCCGATCACGGCCGGTCGTCGCTGGTCTTTGACCTCGTAACGATCGAGACCGTGGCGATGCCATCGCGGGACGCTGCTGTCGCGTCCCCTTCATGGTCGTCCTTAGTGCTGTACGTCGTTGGATAAGAAAATTTGTGTTTCCGTTTCTGATATTTACCCAAACCAGAGTAAATTATCGACGCGACTGTGGAGGCAGTCCCCTGCACTGACAGTCGTGGCAGCGGCCGTCTTTTTGCAGGAGATGACGTGGCACGCGCATATGCAAGTGCAGGCGCCGAATACAAACCTCCAGTACTAACGCTCCTGTACACTGTACAACACCCGAGACGACCGTCTAGCTCGTTTCGCCTTCTTCTTTTTGTTAACAAGGTGGTTGCCACCGCTCACTCTGCAATTTGCCACGATGCCACCGAGGAAGAAGGGGGCTCTGCACAAGAAGTTCAAGTCGTGGCGCTTCCTCTACGCGGCCCCGCGGCCGGTGGGAGCCTCTGAAGCGCTGCCGTACGCCTTTGACTTGACGCTTGGCGCCCATTTGACGCCGAAGCAGGGGTATCCGGTCGTTCACGTGGGCCCCGCAGCCATCGCTGCTTGCATCAAGGTCGGCGATTACATCGACGCGGTCGCCTACACATGGCGCGAGTACGGTGCGCACGGCCAGCACGTTGATGCCGAAGAACGGGCTGTTACTCAACGTCTCGGCGAGTGTCACCAGCCAGTGGTGCTTGTTCACGTCGTCGCAGACCGCGACGTCACCATCGAAGCCGAGGCCGCTACCAAGCATCAACTGGAGAAACGTCGAAATGCCCTGCGCAATGTCGCCTCGACGCGGCCTGCGAAGCCCGACGACATGGACCAAGCCACATATGAAGCGCAACTCGTGCAGTGGGCTGCCGACTCTCTTCGTGCGTGGGACACCCGCCACCCAGTACCGAGTGGTCCTGCTGCTGTCGCCGGTGGCAATGCGGTCGGTGCGCCTCTTGTTGACGACGCTCACGACGGTCTCGACTACGACGACGCTCAAGATGTCAACGACAGTGTTGATCTTGAGGATGCATCAGACATTAACATCGACCTCACACCACGCGACAACGCTGTTCCTGTGGCTCCTATAGTGCCAAGCGGAATTGAGCCCCAACGTCACGATAACGAGGACGACGACGGTCGCGACCACCAGCGCCAGCGCGTCAACCCCTCTGCCGGTCCGCGGCGCTGCATTTTCCAGCACATCACGGTGTTTATCAGGACGAGCGAAGAGATGCTCAACTTTCTCGAGGCGCTGCCAACCGAGTGGCTCTCGGAGCCGATGGCTGTGCTGCGCCAGCTCTTTCGCGCCAAGGACGCCCGACGTCTCGCAGGCGTCCCCCTCTGGCCCACTCTGGAGCTACCGCGCGGCATTATCTCTGACCCGGAGATTCTTGGCTGGATCGACGGCGCATCAGCCATGTACCCGATGGTTTCCATCGACGACTACAACGCGCCGCCGCCGCCGGTCCACCCCGTGCCATCCATGGCAGCCCTGCAATACATCGTCGCGACGTGGTCAGCGCGTCTCTTCAGCATGGAGATTCACATCGAAGACGCCCGCGCTTGGCCGCTCGAGTCGCAAGACGGCATGGCGGCAGCGCTTCGAGCCGCAAGACGGCATGGCGGCAGCGCTTCGAGCGCTTCCTGCGCTGCGCGAGGTCCAGTTCATCTCGAATAGCCGGTACACGACGTTCGACTTGCTTTCCGTCGTCCAAGTGCTCGCGTCGACCCCTCTCACTTTGGTCTGCTTTGTCCGTGCCGAGTGGTCCGAGGCCATGGTGACGACCATGGTCGCATGGCTGGGCACGGGCTCGCTCAAGACGCTCGTCCTCTTGTCCATTGTTACGACCAATGCGCTCGCCACGACACTGAGCAAGGCGATTGCAGCGTCCGCCACGCTGAGAGAGATCGATATCAGTTACGGGTCGCTGGCGCTGCGCTTTTTCAAGGACGTCCAAGCGCTCCCACCGCAACTCGTCTCGGTCGAGCTTGACGGTTTCTCGCGCGACGACTTGCCGGCCATCGCATCGGTCATCACGAATTCGCGCCTCCGACACATCTCTCTTCGCTATGGCGCCACCGAGTCGCCCGACGCGTACTTCGACAAGACGCTTGAATTGATCCAAGCTCTCGGCCGTCTGCGCTCGCTTCGGTCTTGTCATCTTTCTCATCTCAAGCTCTCACCGGTGTGCGCGCTGGCCTTCTCGACGCTGATGCCACGCCTCACGTCGGCAGAATTCACGGCGAACGGCCTCGATGACAACGCCGTGTTGGCTTTGGCGGCCGTGCTGCCGCACTGCCAACACCTCGAGTGCATCCGCTTCAACGCGCAAGAACTCGGCGACGGTGGCGCCAAATGCCTTGCGGTGGTAGTGCCCTTGTGCCCGTCGCTGAGGGAGCTCAATCTTCGCGAGAACCGCATCGGATCGGTCGGCGCCGAGCGCTGAGCAGCGTTTTACAGCGTCTCAAAGTGCTTGATTTGTCGAGCAACGACATCGACGACGACGGTGCGATCGCACTCAGTCGTGTCGAGCCACATGAAGTCTATCCGGCTCGACAAAAACCCGATCTCGTCCAAAGGCGTGCTCGCAATCGTTGCTGCCCTCGGGACGTGCGAGCACCGCGCCGGCCGCGTCACGCTGTGGCTCTTCCACGATCTCGGCGAGTGCGAAGCGGCGATCAAGCGCCTCCCGAACGAGGCGTGGGTCCAGTTCGACGTCGTTACGCCGCGCGCTGCGTAGCCAGCTGCGTACTTTCTAGTCTTTGCTTGATAACGCCTAATTGTGTCTTTGACGAGTTGTGCGCAGACCAGATGCATCGATCGATAGAGCACCAACGACCAGACTCCCACGACTGTGGTCAGTTCCAGATTCCGCGACTGAATCGGTTGTCCCGATGGCTCTTGGCGCCGCCAAATGTGCAGATCCGTCATTTATGCTTTGCACCTTCAGCTACGATCTCCACGGCGCCCGCTCTCGACGTATATATGTCCTTCCTGGAGGATCTGATGCTACGGCGGCTGCGCTTACTGTGTGTACGCCACTAACGGCGTCTGCCGCTTCCACCTGGTCCTTGGCCATAACAAAATGCCATTTTCGTAAATGCAACGTATATTTCGATAACCCTAATCGTCGTCGTCGCCAGTTCTTAGACTTCCGAGTCGATGAGGATCCACTTGATGCGGCGAAAGCACTTGCGGACGATTTCCTCGAGGACGCCGTACCGACCACTGTACATGAGCAAGTTGTGCATGAGCCGGAGCTTGTCGCCGACGTGCCACATGCGCTTCTTGATCGCGTTGAGCTGCGCGGTCTGGAGCCCCGGCGGAATCACGTTGTCGACGACCGTGCGCCAGACGTAGCCGTCGAGCGGCGCATCGAGTGCGACCGGAAGCCGCAAAAGCTCGCAGCCCGACGCCGTCACCTTGGCATCCAGCTGCGACAGGAGCGTCGTCACCTTGGCCCACACATCCTCTTGGCCGGCAAGGCACTCGAGGACACCGCCGTGCGCGTACTCGGGGTGGTACGGCTCACGGCCAATCACGCGCAGCAGCATGTTGAAGAGCGCCATTTGGTGGCCAATGTTGTCGCCGGGCACGCGGCCAAACTCGGTCAGCATGACCTCGAGCAGCGTGTAGATGCCCATGGCCTCGGCGCAGTCGTGTCGGCACTCCCACATGAGCCGGGCAATCGACGAGTCGACGAGCAGTTGACCTAGCCACCGTCATCCAAATCAGCCTCCAAATGGTCTATAGTCACAGTCGCAATGGCGTACCGGTGGGCGACACGAGGCCGAGCACGTGCATGTACTGCATCGACTTGGCGAGGTAGTTGTCTTCGGGCTTGCCCTGGATGAACTCGGGCAGCGCATGCGTCGACATGCGCGTGAGGACGTCGTCCGTCATAAACTCCGAGAGCGCCTTCTGGAGGTACATGGTCGGGTACAAGCTGTACGGGTTGCCGACCACGTTGGGCAAAAGACCGCGCATGAGCTGCTGCATGCGCGGCCAGGCAAGACCCGCAAACACAATGTTACCCTGGCGATCGAGCCCACGACGACCGGCACGACCAGCCATCTGCTGCGCCATCAGCGAGCTCAGCTCCGGGTCGTCTTCGCAAAAGCAGCACGTGCGGAACGGCATGTTGACACCGTACGCGAGCGAGTCGTCCGAGAAGACGACCGCGAGGCGACCGGCCTGCGCGAGCGACTGCACGATGCGCAGGTAGGCCGCCGGGAGGTTCTCGTTGTAGATACCAATGCCGCGGCGCAGCGACCGCACGAGCGGGTGCCCGTCGTCCGAGTCCTCCGACAGCTCGCGGCGGAGCTGCCACTTGATCTCGCGGAATTCGGCGGCCGAGAGGCGGTGGCCGGGCGGCGTCAGCACAAAGTCCGGGTGCGGCGCGTGAATGTCGGGCGCGTTGGTCTCTTGGAACTCTTGCGCTTCGCTACAAAACACAGTAATGAGCCCCAATGGCCAAGTCATTGGTCCGGAAAAATGGCGCATTTTGCAGGAAAACGCGCGAAAATGCGCAAAAATGCAGCGAAAAGACGTACCGGGCCTGGTCCTCCTGGAGCGCCTTGGACTTGGCCTGGGCCTTCTTGGCGATGAGCTGGGACTTTTCCCACTCTTCGTACTCGGCCTCGACCTTGGCGCGGTAGCCCGGGTACTTGGCGTCCTGCGCGGCCTCGACACCGGCGAGGAGCTTGTCAAAGAGCTGGCGGCAGCGCACGCTGTCGAGCTGGAAGCAAATGGCCGGGATGAGCTGCTTGGCGCACAAGTCGAAGATGAGCGACGTAATGTCCATCTCCGTGTTCTCGAGGTGCGCCGGCGGCGTGTAGCTGAGCTTGTCGAGCACCTGCTGCGTCTCGGCCGGGTACTCGACCGCGAGCTTTTGGAGGCGGCTCTTGACCTCTTCTTCGTACTGCTTGGACTCGAGCAGCGTGATGCGGTGGCACATCGGGTTGAGAAAGTCATCGCCGTCGTCGTCGTCGTCGTCGTCGCCCTTCTTCGACTTCTTCTTGGCGTCCTTCTTGTCGTCCTTCTTCTTCGACTCCTTCTTCTTCGAGTCCTTGGACGACGCCGCCTTGGTCACCATCGTGTCGGCAAAGTACTTCTCGGGCTTGAGATCGGCAATCGCTTCCTTCGGGTACGCCTTGCGCATCTCTCTGTAGAGCGCGTACGTATCGCGGGGCGTAAATGCCAAGTCGCCAGCGTCAAAGCCCTTCTCCTTGAGGTAGTCGAGCGTCACGGCCGCGCACGGGTGCAGTGGCACGACGTTCTTGCCTTCGAGCACGAGGCGCTGGAGGTTGATGAAGCGGCCGCGGTACTCGAGCAAGTGGATCGGGTGCGGGTGGTGGCGCTTCCACCACTCGGCGAGCACCGACGCGTTGCCGATCGTCGCCGAGAGCGCCAGGAACGGGCAGGTAATGCCCTTGACAATGCGCTCGAGCGCATCGCCTTCCGGGCCGTTGAGATCGTGGACTTCATCAAAGACGCAGTAGTCAAAGTCGTAGCCAATGTTGAGGAGCGCGGTTTCGACCGCCGCCGGCGTCCCGACCGCGACGCGGAAGCCTTCGGGCAAGAACACCGTGCCGTTCGTGATGACGCCGACCGCGCCCTTGACGAGCGACTGGAAGAGGGCGGCGACCTGCCACGCGAGCGGTTCGGTGGGCGCAATGAAGAGCACCTTGCCACCGACGACCGTCACGTACGACGAGAGCACCTGGGCCAATGCACATGAGATGCAATCCATGGATGATAGAGACAAGGCGTACCGTCTTGCCGCTACTCGTGGGCGCGCAGACGATGACCGAGTGCTTCATGTCAATGTGCGTCAACACTTCCTTCTGCCACGCGTCGAGGATGAACTTGTTCATGTGGTGCAAGTTGAGGGGCGGGAGGCGGTCGCTCATCTCCGTGAGCTGGAACGGAATGAGCGGCGTGTCCTTGAGGTGGTCCATGGCCTTCTTGGCGTACTTCTTGTACTTCTTGTGGACCGCGAGGTCCTCGTCGTTGCTGATGCGGCCCATGTGCTGGATCTCCCAGAGCGTGTCGATCGCGTCAATGTAGTTCTTCTCCGAGAGGAACTTCTTCTTGATCTCGTAGAGCTGCTTGAGGCGGCCGGCCGGCGTCGCCATCTTCATCGTCATGAGGTTGACCGACTTGGCGTTACCGAGCTTCTCTTCGTCCTGCTTGGCCTTCTTCTCCTCGAGGTCCTTGGCGATCTGCATGCGGATGAGGTCCGCCTTCTTGACGACCGGCGCCTTCTTGTCCTTCTTCGCCTCCTTCTTGGCGTCCTTGGCCGGCGTCGCGGGCGCCGCCGCCGCATCGGCCGGCTCCTCAATGGGCCAGAGCGCCGTCGGGTTGAAGGCGTTCGTCGGCGCGAGGTCGCGCAAGATCACTGGAATGCGCTTGGGGAAGATCTTGTGCCAGTTCACATCATGCATGCCACCGCCATCCTTGCTCATGGTCCTGGAACGAGGGGAAACGGAAAGTGCTCATTGCGAGAGGTCGAAATCCGACACGTCGGGCCAATCAGAACGCGCAGACGCAATGATTTACACCAATCCCAGGCGAGTAGCCGCACGTTCCCAGAGGCTACATAGACGCCACTACACAGCGCCAAGGACGCCCTCGCCCGGCACTATCGTCATGCAAGCAACAAAAGATAGTGTATAGGTCTATTAGAGATTGGTTTGTGGAGCTAGGAGGCTACATACATGCCAATTCTTGCGCAAGGCGATAGTGCGTTGGTTTGGCTATCAATACAAATATCAAGTGTAATGTGATTACCCACCGTAAAAGTTGCGTGTTCTTAACCGGTCATATCCCGTCTTGGCGCGGGCACCAATCGTTTTGGCTTAAATTGCCTCAGAATGGTCGCGCATCCGGATGCGGGCGGCCGCTGGCTGCTCGACCAGCGCTAATCCGACCTGGCTGGCTGCACCGACAGCGTATATACAGGCTTGACGAGCCCTTACTCGGTCGCAGGCTCGCTAGAGGTACAAGCTGTCGGCTTGAACCGACGACGTCGTCAGAAGATACGCACCCGATCATTCTCTGCCGCTGCACTCTGTTCCAATCGCGTCAAAGGAGTAGCCGCGTCTATGATGGTGCCCGAGACAGCAACAACGCACACAAATCCGTGGTCGGAACCCGCTTGTCGTAAAGTGTAGTCGAAGGATCTTCTCTTCCGGTAATGGCGTCACCTTCGTACATGTATGTAGCTGGCCCTAGTATGGATGTACCGTGGCTCCGTTGCTCAAACTAGCTCAGTCTACCACATATCGTGGCGACGTTTATACATGTAGAGCCATCTATGAGCCTTGATGATGGTGGTTGGCTCTACCAGGCAAAGCTGCAGATGTGCGATGATCGTACGTGGTGCTTTCTGATGTTTACGGCGATGCCACCTCGCGCTGACGCACCGAAGACGATGCATAGACTCCTGACGCGCATGGCGTTAGACCTTCTTACTTCTCTGCAGCACCAGGGATACTCGAAGATGGGCGCCAATGATGGTGGATCGACGCTGCTGCGATCTTGCCTCGTGGCAGAGTCGTATGTGATTGGCGTATTTTTGGCGAATCCAAGTTGCCTCGGCCTCGGATTGGTTGAAAAGAAAGGCCAGTGGATGATGTTGGCCATTTTCGACACCGCCAGCGACGCGCAGGATGGCGACCAGCTACGAGGAGAACGTGTGGTTCGCCGCCAAGATGGGCCGCCTCGATGAGCTCACGCGACTGATTGAGGTCGACGGCCATGCCTTTGACGCGCAGGACGACCAGCTCAAGTCGCCCTTCTACTATGGCTGCACCTTCAACCAGCCCGAGGTGCTCGCGTACCTCACTACCCTCTACGCCCGCCGCAACGTCGTCATGCCCGAAGAGCAGCGCGCGTGGTGCATCCTCAGCTGTCTCAATGAAGACGTCCGTCTCTTTCTCGAAGGCAAGACAACGATCGAAGCAGTGATTGCCGACCGCGCCAAGAAGGCCCACAACGAGACCTTGTCGCCGGTCGCGGCCGCGGCCCAAGGCAACATGGCGCGGCTCCGCTACTTTATCAAGTCGGAGCCACTTGTTCTCTGGACGGCGGATGCGGTGTCGGGCAAGACACCGGTCGAGGTCGCGTGCGACGCCGGCCACGCACCCGCGACGGCCACGCTCTTGAGCGCAGCGAAGAAGGAACTCTCGGCTGCAGCGTACGATGACCTCGTCGCACGCTGTGTAGCATCGACGACGCCCGGTAGCTTCATGCACCGCGTCGTCCGTGGTGAGGTGCCCATGAAGGAGATCATGGCCGCGCACAAGCAGGCCACGCCCAGCCCATAGACGTAGCTAAGCTCTGCAGTGTAATCAAGTTTGTGTCGATCTGGGCGTCAGAAGCATGGGGCCAGCATGGGTGCAACACTGCATCGGGTCGTCGTCACCGATTCCAGTTGGCTACTCAGTCTTGCCACTGCTGGACGCATGCGATGCTGGCTTGGAATGGATCGGTGGCGCCAGGATCTCGGATCGCGCTTCGAAGAGTCGAGATGGCGGCAGAAGCAGCATGGCCTGCGACGTCGCCGGCAGGTCGCGTGCAGGTGGCGGCCAGGTGGCGTGGGGTCTTTACGCCGGCGGCGCGCCACGCAGTCGGGCCACGCACAGTACAGCGCGGGCAAGCCCAGCGGTGGCGCCGGTGCTTACGGTTGTACAATGGTCGCCTTCGGTGCGCCTGCCATCTTTAGTTAGTCGATCTCGCTGACGACGACGACGACTCGGCTCGTGAAACGGCGGTGCACCGGCTTTTCGTCGCCCGTTGTGGGGATGTATGTGGTCGAAATAGAATGACATGCCACGCAGTATACTTGTTTTTTGTATGGCTTGGTCCGATCTTTGGCCTTTCGCATATTAATTTCATTGGGTTCTATGTACACTTGCGTTTTGTAGGAAGTTGAATAAAAATACTGTTTCGGGTTGTGGCTTGGTGTTTGTATGCCATACAAACAACAAGAGATAGTTTCGGCCGGTGCCACTGGGCAACTGGTACCGTCGTCACTCTTCCTTCTCGCGATCCACGACCCAGAGCCGACGAGATGGCCGCGCTGCCCGAGCTCAAGGGTACCTCGCCATGCCAGCGCTTGGCCTCATGCGCGGAATGGCCATGTAGGCTACCTCCTCAAGAAGAGTCGGCAAGGCCGCTTCCAGAAGCGCTGGTTCGAGGCCACGAGCCACTACCTGACGTACTACAAGGTACGGCGACCATGGCCCTGGCATGCGACCAAGCTTGGCATAGAACGCCGAGAGCGAGAAGTTGCTCGCGTGCATTGATCTTTGGCGAAGCGGCAACATTCAGATGGGCGTCCCGGAAGGCTACGCGTCGTCGGACGTCACGACCGCCGACTTTTCGCTCAAGATTGGCGACCAAGACTACTTCCTTCGTGTACGCACTGTCCAGCAACGTATTGGCATGGCTCACACCTATGCATGCAATAGGCCGCCGACCAGCAAGAAGCGACAAAGTGGGTCACGGTACGTTCCTTCTGCATGCATGGCACGGAGCTGATGGGCATACGGGACAGGGCTTGAAAGCGCGGCAGATCAAGCCCGATGGCGCCATCTCGGACACGTTCAGCCACCACGAAGAGGTCTACAACGACACATCGAGCGAGGTCTCGAGCGCGTACAACGACGACGGCCGGAGCCTCGGGCCCAACAGTCGCCCGGCGTTTTTGGAGGACCGGTTGAGCCTCGGCCCGAGCGCCCGGTACGTCATGGACCGCGACGAAGCGTCGGCGCAGGAGCTCGTGGGCTCGAGTGTGCGCAAGACAATACCGGTCATCGTGCAGCCGATCCCGCCGGCGGCGACCAAGAAGCAGACGTCGCTCCGGTCGATCACGACGCCGACGACCAACAACGTCCATCCGATGCTGCCACCCAAAGCCAAAGACGACAAAGTGTCGCTGTGCTGCGGCAAGTGCGACTTCATGTAACGTCAATTTAAGATGCCTCCTTCGCATCGCTACGTGTCCTCGCTCGCTGCGTCGTCATTCTCGTCGTCGTCGTACTGGTCGGGCGACTGCGTCATGGCCAGGAGCAGCTTCTTGTGCAGCATGTCTTGCGTCGGGTACAGCGGCAGCACGAGCACGCACGCATCGGTGGCCGACCGCTCGACGCTAGGATACCCGCCGCCGTGGACGTCGCCGGGCGACAGCGTCAACTGCAGCGTCCCGTACGGGCTCCAGTGCGGCCCAACAAGGAACCGCTCGAGAAGGTGCATCTCGTCCAGCGACAGCGCATGCAAGATGCGCCAGAAGAAGGCAGCGACCGCCGACGTCCGGCGCAACCCTCCCGCGTACTGGGTCCGGGCCTACGCAAGGCTCGCATGGTGCTTCACGAGCATCAACAGCGACGAGACCTGCAAGGCGAGGAGCTTGGCGGCCGGACAGAGGTGGGCTGCGAGCGTCGCGGCCGAGAAGAGGCCGAGGCAGGTGGGCGGGACGATGCTCACGAGTCCGCGCTGCATCGCTTCAACGTACGGCTTGTACGGAGTGAGCAGCGAGTCGAGGAGGCCGGCGATGTAGCGAGGCGCCGTCGCTAGCCTAGAGGATGCACTAGTGGTTAGGGTACCTCAACGCGTCGACAGCGTACGTGACAATCTCGCCGTCCCATGGAATCGCATGCGATGCAAAGTCGTCCGTCGACCAGGTGGGCATGGCGAGTGCAACGGCGACGTCGGTCGCGTCGTCGTCGACGACTGGCGCCCAGTCGTCGAGCGTTACGGACTCGCGCGCCTACACCACATGCGATAGTACAAGAGCGCAACTGTCTGCATACGAGCAACTTCCATAGCAGCGGGCCAAAGTACCACGGGAGGTGCACGTCACTGCGCCACGCAATGCCAACGAGCTGCCCGAGCGCAAAACAATCGGCACGACTGTTCGATCGCGGTCGCAAGAAGGAGATGTTCAACCAGAGCGTCGACGACTGTCGCGTCGGCGCCAAGAGAGGGTACGTTGGCGACTGCACGGCGCGCGCCGCTTCCTTGAGTACATGGGCGTAGGCCACCGCGGGCTCGAGCGGCAGCGTCGCATCCGGTGCCTCCCAGTGCACGCGGAAGGTGCGCGTTGCGGTCGGTGCCGTCACATCGGCGTACGGTGGCGGTGGTGGCGCGTACTGCCGGCGCAGTTCCCTTGTCGCCGCCGACGTCAAGAACGCCGCAAGCTACCCGCCACCCGGTCATGAACCGCGGTGGAAGTCGCGGTGCCGTACCTGGCTAAAGACATTGGTGTCGACCTCGTCGTCGTCGATCGTGTCGTCGGCGTCGACGCCACTCGTCTCCCAGAACGGAAAACTCGGCCTAGCGCAGGTTTGGCCACTGTATGAGAAGGTATGATACGCACCGAGATGATGCGCGAACGTTGCACTTGATGAGGTCGGGCGGGTCGTCGTCGAGCTCGTCGGCGGCCGTCGCCGGCAACGTCGTGGCGGTCGCCGTCTTCTTGAGTAGATCGCGGGCGAAGCGCAGTGGGAGAAAGCGAAAGAGGCGTCGGCGAAGGCATTGCATCGATGCGTCGGCGAGCGAGACGCACGGCACGACCACTTGGGCTTGGAGGTTGAGGTAGCGGAGCCAGGCGACGCGGGCTGCGCTTTCGATCGGTGTCAGTGCCAGCGGCACCGGCTCCAAGTCGGTCATTCGGACGTCAAAGACGCTAGTGTACCTAGTAACCACATCAACTCGACCGTCAAGACGCTCTACGTACCGCTGAAAGTGCACAGTGGTATACACATGCTGGAGAAGCGCTTCGTCCAGCGCCGGTGTCCACGGGCGTTGCGCGTCGAGGAAGGCTTCGTGGCTGAGACTGGTCGGCGCCACCGGATGCGGCGCGTCATGGCGGCGCGTCACGGGAAACTCGCTCGGCCGCCCGACCATGTCCCTGCATAGATGCACTTTCCAGCGGCCAATCGCATCGGGCGACCCTGTCGGCGCGTGGGCCTCGATCGAGTAGTAGAGTTCGTGCTTGGCGACGCCGAGGACCGTGCACATGCCTGCGGTCGATAGATTAGAGGACAACCTGTCCACAATAGCTGTACCTTTGGACGTGAAGATGACGTCACCGGCAAAGAGGCCAAATGGCAGACATGCGTCGTGGGTCGTCGTCAAGAGCAGCCACGCGCCGTCGTCAAGCGTCACGACGGCCTCGGCTCGGTGGATCCACTTGCACCAATGGTCGTACGCCCCGGCGGTCGAGGCCAATGAGAGGGACTCGGTCATTTCGAGCAGCTTGTGATGCGCGGTGAGGGCAACAAGCACCGTCGACGCGCCAGCGACCGCCGATCGCACCGGTGCGTCCGACGTCGACGGCAAGAGCGTCACCTGGTCATCTTTGTTGTACATGGAGATCGCCGGAAAGTAGGCCGGTGCGACGACCGAATGATGCGTGCCGTGGAGGTTCTCGACGGCAACACCAAACGAGTCGCCGTTGCGCGCAAAGGCAAGCGTCCCGGCGTCGAGGTCGAGGACGACCGAGACGACGTCACCTTGCTTGAAGATGTCGCCGTACGTTTGCAGCTTGGTTTTGTTGTGCCACACGGCCTTGTTGGCGAGAAAACCCCACCCACTAGCGTCGACAAGGATTATAGAAAAAAGACTAGAGAGACGTACTAGGCGTCGCTGCCAACATAGTTGTCAAGGCACGCATCGGCGGTGCAGACGCCGACAAAGATGTTTTTGGAGACGCACTTGTCGATACGGACGTCCCACGCGTGCACACCGGATGTAAAGCCGACCGACGCGCGGACCGCGTGCCACTTCTTGTTGATGCGGTTGCGCGCCGTCATGTTGTGGTGCAAGAGCTCGAGGTTGCTGCCAATCGCCGCCGGATCCAGCTCCAGCACCGATTCCGGTAGCGTTTCCAGCACCGTCGCCGGCGACCGCGTCTCGCCAAAGATGCAGCGGACGTGGTAGACGGTCTCGGGCTGCAGGTGCGACAGCGTGTACGGCATCTAGGCCTCGTTAGATCACGCGCAAGTTAGAAGCGAGTGACGCACATGACGGTGCAAGTCCACTGGGTCCACGAGCTCGATAAAGTCCGAGACACCGACGTGGCCGTTGCTGTGCACCGTCTCCATCGCGAGCTCAAGCGCCGTCGCGCCGTCAACGGGGCATGACAAGACGACCGTCGACGACGTCACGTGCTCGACAAGCAGCACTACACCAAGTGAAATCATCGTATATAGAGCCATCCGCACTCTACCTGGCAAGACGACGGGCGGGGCGGCCACAAGGAACGACGTACGAGGGTTCACATATCGGTAGAGACAACTAGTGAGCTCAAAGATTGCCTATACGAAGCGATGCGTCACACCGACACGTACGACGACGGCGACGACGTTACCTGAGTGTAGGCGGATGCGAGGACGCGGGCTTGTTTTGTCTTGCGGAGCTTTTCGCCGAGCCACTCGATCAAATGCTTGACGCGCACGTGCAGCTGCAACGCCTCCATCGTCGTCGACGGCAGCTCGTTCAGAAGCGTCACTAGGATCGACACGACGGCATGGCGCACCGTCGCGTTGGCCGTCGCACTCAGTGCCACCCAGAGCTCTTGCCAAATCGCCGGTGCGTACAGCACATCGGTCCGGGTCGGGTCTATCGTTGCGAGACGGCGCAGAACCGCCGCCAACCAGCGCGCCCACGCCAAGTTGGGGCCAGCGCTGTTGCTCGCATGACCTATATGACGTCATGACGTTCCGCCCGATAGCATCTCTGGTACCCGGTGCGAACGGTGTGGACACCATGTCTTTGGCCGTCGCTCGGTGGACGTGGCCGAGCAGGTCGCGGACGAGGAGCTCAAAGAAGGCCGGCGACGTGCCGCAGAGTTGCTGCAACAGCGCTTCGTACGGACCACCGTTGTCGGTGGCCGTTGCCTCGTCGAGGAGGCGTCGCTGAAGGTACTGTAGAAAGAGCGGCGCGTGCTGGGCCAATGTCTCGTCGCGCGCGAGACTGCCGCTGCGAAAAAGCTCGTGGGTCGCCTCCTGCGCCGACCAGACGCAGAGAACGGTCTCGGCAATGACGTACAACGGCAAGATTTCGTCGTCGCGACAGTGGTCGGCGAGGCTCAAGATGAAGCCGACGGACCGCTTCTCGCTCGTACTCGGGAGCTTGGGGTCATGGACGACGAGTCCCTCGTCCGCATACACCTCCTACGGCCACTTGAGACAAGATTTGGTCGCCTATAGCACCTCGCACGTCTCGTCGAGAAGGAGAGCATTGCGGGGCTCGGTCGACGGAGCCGCCACGTCGGCGTCGGCAACCACGGCCCACTGCGGACGGTCCACCGTCGGCAGCGCCGGCTTGTCGACGTGCCCCCCGAGTCCGTCGAGTTGTTGGAGGTGGTGCATGCGGTAGTGGCTTGCATGCGACGGCCGCGCCGCCAGCGCATCGGCCTCCATCTGCTCCATGATCCACGCGATCGCAGCGCTCTCGTTGATGTCAAGGGACGTCTCGCGCGCGCACCGGAGCGCCCTACGCATTTGTCTACCATTTCCGTCCAATGGCTCCGTGAAAATGCACCATTCCGGTGAAAACCCGAGGCCAATGAGACCGTCGATGAGGTCGGTGCGTCGTCGATCGATCGCGGCTTCGTGGTCGGTCTCGACACTCAGTCGGCCTTTGCTCGGGCTGTGCTCGCAGACGCCGCCCACGATCGCACTCGCCACCGGCTGCAATTTGGCATTGTCGAGCGTCGGGCAGTACAAAAACTGGTTCTTGGCAAAGTGCAGCTGCACCGCTTGGTCGACGTTGAGCGACATGGCCGGGAAGAGCGCGTGCGTCAGATGCAGCCCCTCGAACGCAACGCCGAGGCTGCGGCCGTTGAGAAAATAGGTCATTTCGAACCGGTCCGTATCGAGGAGCACGCCGACAACGTCGCCGACGTGCCACCGGTCGCCATACTCGAGCGCGCCAACGTTCCATTTTTTCCGCCGAAACCCTAGCCACACTGTATCAAACTGTCAAGTTGGCTACCAAAACGTACCATCGTACGCCCAGCTGTTGGTGTGGTCGCCGACGCCTTGGCCTTGGATCGCGTTGGCTTCAAACGCCGTGTCCACCCACCCAATCTATGCGTCGTTGCAGAGGTTCAACGGGGCACGTCGCTACCTGCATCAGGCCGTCCGTGAGCAATACGACTTCATAAAACCACATGCCTGTCCCCGCCGTGATCGAGACGCCTAGACCGTTCGATGTATGGGAATTGCGCTTCATATAGCGAAGTACCGGTGAGCTTGATGGTGGGAAAATGCTGCAGACCCTACCCCCATTTGACGTGGAGGCGTGTGGGGGACGAGAGAACCGTACCTTGACGCGGTATTCTTCCATTTCGACGTCGCCGCCGAGCACTTGAAGCTTTTGCGTTGCGTTGACGAGCCACCACGGCGCCACTTCGCGCGGGTTGACGTACGGAAGCCGTTCGAAGAGTACTGTCGAGAGCATTTCCAGCGCCGCTCGGCGCTTACTGCCGCCGTCGTGTGGCGTCTCCGCGTCGTCGAGGATCCATTCGAGCAGCGCTTGCACCGTATCGAGCTTGCTAATGATATCAAAGTCGGACCCAAACACCGTCGCGACGGCTTCGGCCAATGGCTGAATCGCCAGCTGAAGAAATCCGATAAGACCCGGTTTCAAGAGCGCGTCTACAGGACATTATTGTCCACAAAAGGATAGAATTGGCGAGCGTACCGACGGCGGCCGTGTGTTGGGCCTGGAGGCGGCACAGCCGCAGCAGCGACGACCGCAAATGCACGTGCTGTGCCAACTGAATGTCTTCGCGCATCTCGGCCGTCGACGATGCCGGGGTCGCCGTGGTCGGTGCTTCGTGGCCGGCCATGCTTATAGGCGACGTCAAGCTCCACGCGACGAGCGTTGGCAGAGGCTCGGGCAGTGGGTAGCCACCGGGTGTTGCGGCCACAACGTTCACGGCGAGGACGACCTTGGCCATCGTCGCCGTGTCGGCAAGACTTCCGCGCTGGCCGGTCCACGACTCTGCACTCTTGATCCACGCCTCCAAGAACGCCAGAAGCGTCGGTTGCCACAAGGGCGACTGCAGCAGGTGCGCAAGCAACGCCACGACGCCGGTCGCCAGTCGCGCCCGCGACGCTCGGAGCAGCGGCAACGACTTGGCCTTCACCGGTTGTTCAAAGAGGAGCCAGGTTGCAACGCCGTTGGGGTCGAGCTGCCGGGCGTTGAGCAAGTGCAGCAACACCGAGTCTTTGCGGGTGGAGAGCGCGGCCGAGAGGCCCGGGGGTCCGTACGTGTCGTACGTCGACCCAAACCATGCCGAGCTGTAGCACTGCAGCATGAACGAGAGCGCCGACTCGCGTAGCAGTACACTGGCAGGTGGGAGCGCGGGCAGCAGGTTCGTCAGCAATGAAAACAGCTTGTCGTGGCTGCGCGGTGGCGCCACCGGAAAGAGTGCCACAACAAGGCTCACAACGTCGTCGACGGGCGGGAGTGCGCGCGACGGCGCCACGAGCAGCGACAGCAAATGGTCGCAGTACGTGTCGAGCACTTGGCGCTGCTGAATTCGAAAGAGCAGCGAGCCCGCCAACGCCATGACGCCAATGGTCTCCTCCGAGAGTGCGTGCAGATGAAACGCGACGTCGTCAAGGAGCAAGTGGGGCGGGTGCGGTGGCGGAATGCCCGACGACGGCACGAACCCGCCCACCGTAAACGTATGGTGCGACAGGACTGACTTGTCGGCCGTCGTCTCGATGCAGTCGCTTTGAGCATCGAGAATCCCGTTCAGAAACACCTCCAGGCAGCGCGAGGTCGGGTTGAACCGGCCCACAAGGTGGGTCCAGTGTCCCCACACGAGTGGTCGCGCCGACAACACCGCGACCTCCACAGACGTCTTTTCGATGCGCAGCTGCAGCCCCACGCGACCGTCCAGACACAAGGTAAGCGCAAGCTGATGCGAAGTAACATCGCCATTGGCCAGCAGCAGCATCGACGCACCCGACGTCGCACTTGCCTCCTTCTCGTCGCGCTCAATGTAGAGAAAGAGCGATATCGCAAAGCCGTCCGTGCTCCAATCAAACGACGCGCGCTCCTTCGCCGATAAGAAGACGGCGTTGGTGCCCGAGACCACGTTCGGGTCCGCAAGAAGAATGGCTTGGCTGTCGTCCAAGCACTGCACCATACTGTGCGCCAGTGCATTCCAACTCGCAAGCTGGGCGGTGACGCGACGCAGCTCGTCGATGACGACCATGTACGTGTGGGCCAGCGACTCGTCGAGCGAGGCTGAGATAAGCTTTGGCGGTAGCGACAGCCGCTTCCGAGGCGACGTGCAGTGCAGCGACGGTTTGGCCGACGACGGACGTGAGAGCGCCTCTGTGGACGCTTCGGTCGACAGCATCAACTGCCGCCCGAGCCAGCCAAAGACGTGCCACGCTGCATTATGGAGGCTCCGTGCCGTCGTCGCGCCGGCGACGAGCTTCTCAACGGGGCGGAGACGGGGCGGCAGACAACTGTGCGCGGGCGCGGCGTGGGAGCTACCGTAAATGACGTCGGCCGCCGCGTTCATGGCAAATGGCGGTGCATCGGTCGCCAAGAGGTCGCCGAGGATGTGCAGAATGCCCGCCCGGCGAATCAGACCGACGTCGTGAAACTATGAACACAATATTGTCTTCTATCTTGTGGACGATCGCAATAGGACATACGTGGACGGTCCAGAGCGTCAGAGCCCGCTTCTTGAGCAACGGATCACTCTCAGCACTCGCGAGGATCTTGGCCGAGCGCACGTAGAGGTTCTCGATGGCCTTGGCGAGCTTGCCGTGCTCTGCATGACCGTGAAATGCGTGCAAATCCCGCTCCAGTAGCTGCACCCTCATCGATGGTACCTTGATACGATGCAACAACGAGGTACCTGCAGCGGTGACGCGTCACTGTCACGACGTCGCTTGCTTTTGCGCGGCGACGACGAGAGCGGTGATGCAAAGACGACCCGCGGCTCTTGCCATGCATTGTACGCCACGGACAAGCAGCCAGCATCGACGTCGACTTCGAGGCGCTCGTACAAGACGCGGAGAAGCTCGCATTTCGCAGCGCTGCTCGTGAGCTTTCGAAGCAGATCGTGGAGAATGCTGAGCCCGGCAATCTTGAACGATATGCGGTCGTCGTCGCGCTCACTCGACCAGCTCAGTGGCGACTGCAAAAGCGCAACAAGATGCGGCACCGAGAGCGTATATGCCCGATACCCAAACAGCGTGCAGTTAGGAAACGAGCAGTGCGACGGAGGCCTATGTCTTCCTCCAAGTCACTGCAAGCACAAGAAGGGCCTACGTGGTGTCGGTCGTGGCCAGTGTCCAGCTGCACTGACTCGGGTAGTAAGTCAAAAGCCGGCGTGCTTGCTCTAAAAAGACATCCTCGGACAGTACGTGCACCGGTAGTGACGTCAGAAGCGTCCACAGCTGCAGCAACGGCTCGGGGGGCGTGGGCGGTGCCCCGGGTTCCAACGGCGCCTGGACATCGAGACTTGAGGCGAACGCAAGTGCCGTGGCCGCAAGACCCGCGTGCCAGAGCAAAAGAGGTCCGATGCCCCGGGTACTCTCCACCGAGGCGAGCGGCATAAGCCACGAGAGCTGCATATGATAGCGCATCCACTTGTCCAAGTGCTGGAGAACGCCGTGGCCGGCCCACCAGTCGCAGATTGCAATATGTTCGAGCGTCACGTCGGGCGGCGGCGTCATGTCGCCTTGGAGCTCATTCTCGACCTCAAAGACCCCACTCTCTTCCCATCGCCGAAGGGCACTCGGTGGTGCTGGCGTCCCGTCGACAATTTGTCCGTAGCGACACAACAAGCGCAGTCTATAGGTTGGTCAGCGCCTCTCCACTTGACGATACAACTACGGTGTCGGAATCGTTGTCGATGGCGAAGCAACTGGGCGCGACGACCCGATGAGCGCGCTCGTGTAGCGACCGACGAGCAGCGCCAGTGCGTTCTCGAGCTACCGTTGCTCGGTCATGAAGCAAGAACAAGGACTCGACGCACCTCGCTGATCCACGTGAGGTCCATGCTCGGGGATTGGTTGCTCGACCGCGTGTCTTGGGTGGCTTTGTACGTGATTTCATCCAGGAGCTTGAGCATCGGCAGTAGCGTCGGGAGGAGGCGGAGGCCAAACGACTCGCTGGACCGGAGCCGGGAGACGCAGCAGCACTCGATCGCGAGCGGCGCGAGGGCGTGGAAGAACGAGGGCTGCAGCGTCGAGAGGTCGCTGTCCTTCAGTAGTCGCCTGTGCACGGCCTTGAGTAGCACGAGGCATTGACCAAAGAGGCTCTCGAGGTACGGGCCCAGAACTGCTCCGACGCAGTCGATGCAGTAGACGCTTGGCGCGTGCCAGCAAGCAAACACATGCGTCTGGAGCACCGAGAGCACCCGCAGCTGCAGTGCCGACATCGCCTTCTACCGTCCGTCCAGCGTGAGACAATAGACTGCAGCGAACAGCGTCCTACCTCTGGACTCGTCTCGACGCAGCTCGTGACGAGACGCAGCAAAAGCGCTCGTAGGTCGCCCACCGTCGGCGCTGAAGCGTCGGGGCCGACAGTGTCGATCGCGCACGTATGGCAGCCCAGCTGTCCAAAGAGGCGACCCATGAGCCCCAGCACCACGTGATCCTACGCATTTCCGAGTGGGCGACCGTACAAGACTCGACCGCATACCTGGCACAGCGGGTCGACGAGAGCGTCTAGCAGCACCGACTGCGACGCTTCGGGTACCAGTAGGAGGTCCCAGAACAGCGCGTGCTGAGCAGCGGGCGATGCGTAAAAGCACGGAAACCCAATCTACGCAAAATGTATCGCACCAACCACTTCCTGCTCCAAGTACCTTGAGCGCTGTCGCGGCGGCCAGGGCGATCTCTCCGTCCATCGTCGTCGCCAGCGTCTGGAGGGCAGTGTGCAGCTTGGTCAACAGTGACGCCGGTAGTGTGACGTGCGGGCAGCTCAAAAACCGCAGCAGATTGGCCTGGATCAAATGCAGACACCCGAGCGTCGACGCCGTCTTGGTCTTCTGGCCATCGAAGGCCAACACATCGAGGAGCAGCTCGAACGTGCTGGCCGAAACGTCGACGGCGTAGGCCAACGACGGCGGCGACGATGCCGGGTGCGTGTGCACCTGCCGTAACTTCTCGACGAGCGCCGCGTCCTCCCGCGGTACGTAGGCATACGCGAGACGGTGCAGCTGTTCGAGCATCGTCGTGTGCGCGGCGCCGACGGTCCACGCCGTCGTCGCCATCGTCGTATCAGTGTCGTTGTCGGCCAATGGCGTCGGCGTCGTCTCTACCACTTGGTTGGACGACCCGGCGTCATCGCCGATCGGCTGCACAAGCACGAGGTTGTACTTGTCGCCGACCGCGATCGCGACCGGCCGGAGCCCTTGCCACGCAAACGCTTCGACGTAGCACGGTGTCTTGCGCGTGACGTTGTCGCCGTGGCCAAGCCGCCCGCTGTCGCTGTGTCCCCACGTATACATTTCCCCTACCCCCATCGTCGTGGTAACCCTCCGGGACACCAAACCCTAATATACCGGACGCAGTGATCGCAGTCGTATGCTCGCAGCCCGCGCGAACGTCGCGAACCACCTTGCCGCTGAGTCCGAGCACTTGCGTCGGGACGTCGCGGTTCTCTTCGTCGCCGTGGCCAAGCTTGCCGTTCGTGCCAGAGCCCCACGAGTAGACTCCGCCGTCTTTGGTGATGGCGAGCGAGTGGTCCTAGTCGTTGCATCGTATACATGACACAGCCGCGCGCTGACGTGTACCCAGCCACAAGCCACGGCGACGCACTGGTCTAACGTCGAAATTGGAGTGGGTTTGGTGCGGCGGTCCGTGTCGTTGATGCCCAGCCCCAAGACGGGCGGCAGCCCCGCGCGCCGACTGTCCTTGTAGCCGCAACCTATGTACAGTGTACCGATAATGAGGCGACAAGACGGGGTTCGAACCGCATGCGAACGCCTTGCCGTCGGTCGTACACATGAGCGTGTGTTCCCAGCCTATCTTGCCATGATCGACGCTGTTTGGTGATTAATGGTACCTCCGGCGACAGTCGAGACCCGCATGTCGGCTTCGTCAAAGTACGAGACATGCGCAGGGCGCAGTTCGTCGTTGGTGTGGCCCACTCCGCACTGGCCCTACGAACGTCAACGTGAATCTCAATGTCCAAAAGCGAAAAATCGACTTGGTTGTTTTTGCCCCACGCAAAGAGGTGACCGTGCTTGGTCACGGCGAGCGAGTGCGATGCGCCGCAAAAGACGGCGCTGACGAGCCATGCGTCACTCTCTTTCTCGACAATCTCGTCGGGCAGCATGACCTTGCACGGCTGCATTTGATCCGACGTGTCGCCAAGCCCGAGACGCCCGTTGCCGCCGTTGCCCCAGGCGTAGACGTCGCCGTTCACGAGCAGCACGACAGTATGTCCGAGACCGCAAGCGACATCGTGGACGCGCGGCTAGTCGACACATTGTTTATATACAACGAGATCAAAAGAAGCACGTACCTTGTCTCGGAAGGCTTCCACGAGGCGCGGCGCGTACTCCTTGGCAGCGTCACCATGGCCGAGGCGGTACTTGTCGCCATTGCCCCACGACAGGAGCTCGCCGTTCGACGTGATCGCGACGCTGTGGGTCGAGAGCGAGTCAATCTTGCGAAACGTCACGTCCCGTGTCGCCTCGACGACCACCGGCGTCGACTTATTCTCGGTGCACCGTCCGTCGGCGCACCCCGCGTGCGCACAGCTGCCGTGGCCGAGCTTGCCGTGGTCGCCTTTCCCAAAGCTCATAAGCATCCCGGTCGATGACGTCGTCTCGGCGGTCGTCTACATGCTCCCCGTTCTCTCGCAGTTCAAAGAAACAAGAGGTACCTCGGTGGGCTGAGCGACGGCGGTGACGAGTTCCCGCAGGAAGGTACCGACGTTCGGTGGTAGCGACAGCGATGGATCCATGCTCAGGAGCTGCTTGAGCACCAGCAGGATGTGCTCGAGCCGACCTCGCTTGATGCTAAGGCCAATCAACGCGGCGAGGCTGTGCCCGACGTCGGCGAGCTGCGGCAGCGCGACCACGATCGTACGAAACATCTCGTCAAAGACGGTCGGGCTCTTCGTGCCGGGCTCGGGCGCCAGCGCCAGCGGTGGCATGTCGAGCAGCATGGCCGGGACTTGCTCGATGAGGCGTCCGAGCGGCGCAAAGTTGCCGCTCGCTGCGCTCCGACTGCGCACGGACTGGAGCAATTTGAAGAAGAGCTTGACGGCGATTTGGGTCGAGAGCGGCAGGGACTCGCACGCGTCGGTCTCGTCCTCGGGCAGAGGCGCCGGCGATCGCTTCTAGCAGCAGATTCGCGTTTACAGAAAGGACACGCGAGAGGTTCGTACTGGCGGAGCGTCCTTGGCGTCGGCGGGCGAAGCTTTGGCCAGTTGATCCAAAAGCAGGTACAGCACCGTGTGCTTCTTCTCGAGTAACGTCATGGGCCACATGTGTTCGAGGTCGTCGAGCGTCGCAACGAGCGCGCCTTGGTCGAGCGTCGCGACCACCGACGGGCTCGTCGACGGCGACAAGAGCAGCGCTTCGTAGCGCTTCGCCGCCGAAATGCCACCGACGAGCGCGGTCTCGGACGCCGGCGCTTGCTCCTTCTCGTCCGGACGCTTGCGCTTGAGGTCTTTGTACCGGTCCTCAACGTACTTGGTCGATGCGAGGAGCGTGATGTCCATCGGTCGATCCACGGTGCGACCTGTCGGCGACTGCAAGTTGTGCGTATCCGGATGTCTGGAAAGGGCAAGATCGCGCCTGTCCAAGATACGACTTGCGAAAGGTCGCCGCGCAAACATGTCGGCAGGATTTGCCAGCCATGCGGCGACTTGTGGCAACTACTGTTTCGAGCTGCTGCACTCTCAGCAATAGTGTCTTATCGTTGCTCAGCGATTGACCAGTTGCAATAGGTCTACCTATGCGGGACTGCTAGATCGGTGTTTAGTGAGATCCTTGCGAAATGCGATAGGTCGATATTCCGAATACCCACAACCCTCGTTGACATATCTATACACGAGTCTTTTACTTGCATACTGTCGAGTCGTAGACTTAAGCAATGGTCGCCACCACGGCCACCGAGACGACGGATGCGACTGTCAAAACCGAGATTGCTGCCGCCGCCGAGGGTGTCGCCGTCGTCGCCTTCGGGGCCGCCGTCAGTTGCTTGGAAGGTGACGGTAGCGGTGCGTCCGATGGCTGCGGTGTGACTGTGATGGTCACAACCGGCGTCACCGTGATGGTCGCATATGTTGGCTTTGGTGTCGTCGCATTGGTAGGTGCCGGCGTCACTGTCGTTGGGGTTGGCGTCGTCGTCACGGGCAGCGCCGGTGTCAGTGGTGCAGCGGTGGTTTTCGTCGGTGGGGCCGGGGTCAATGGCGCAGCGGTCGTCGTGCCGGGCGGGGCCGGTGTCCGTGGTGCAACCGTCGTTGAATTCGGTGCCTGTGTCGTCGCCGTCGGTTCCGTCGTTTGCGCAACCACCGTCGCGATCGTCAGTAGACTGAATAGCTTCATCGCAACACGCTCTAATGAACACTGCTGCTGTTTGTGCACACTTTGCCAAAACGTCGAAGTTTACCCCGCAAGGCTCTAAATTCTGTTCTGCGTGCTGATTGGCTCAACATCGCTTTGGTCTTTGGACATGCGATATGATTGGTCAATTCAACATAGAAGGTCTCAGAAATGCTTCTCGCACTGCCACGTCATGAAGCCGCGTCGAACGTTAAGTGAGCACTCGTTCATGACGGTATCTCTGTCGCGTAGCTCCACCGAGTCGGGTCAAAGGGACCATTGGTCTATGTAAGACACGGTCTTGATAGCTCAAGTGCATGAGCGGTACCTGCCTTCTGCGCATAAACTGTTGGGATGGCAAGGTGGCGTTTCTGGTTATTCAACGCTTGGAGCGCGCCGTGCTGTCGCCCAAGTGGCCATATCTTTTACATTCAAAGATCCAATATATCGACGATTGGCATCGAAAATCGAATCTTTCTCAAAGACCGATTGATGATTCCTCACTTTCCCCCAATGCGAAGCATTGCACGCACGCACCGTACACAAACTTCGTACATTCCCCAGAAATGCTTTGCGTGGAGTTTCCCGAGCCCGTGCAATGTCGTACACGTACAACTGTACGAGTACGCACCAGGCCAATGGGGAGTGCTGGTCTCGGAGTGACGTTCTTTGCCATTGGAACGTTTTGCTCAGTGCGATATTTGCATGGTCACGTTTGCTGTTGCCACCACCGAGCGCAGCCGCTGCAAGGTGGTGCCTCACACACAGCAGCCGGCGACGACACTTGCGGAGTTTTGCAACGAACGCTGCGGCGACATTGTGCAAGCCACGTTGCTCGAGCCCGTCGTCGCGTCGACACACGGCTTTGTCCATGGCGTCCTTGAAGCGTACTGTGAGCACCACGACCTCGTCCTTCGACCGGACGATCTTTGGCTCGCCATCATGACGCAATTTGGTTTGTTTGTCAATGGGAACGCCAACGACCTTCGACATGCGCTTGTGACGCACGACGGCTCCAAGGAGCTCGTGGTCGAGGCTATCGGCACGCTGTACTCGGTCAACTTTGGTGCGCTCTCGACTCGCATGGTCACTCACATGGAAGCGCACCTCGTCGACCCGAATCTCAAAGACTGGATCCTCCCGTCCTTCTCAACAACGACAACGCATGACGTGATCGTCGGTAGCGTCGTGCTCATGGCCACGATGAAGTCGTTCTTCTCCTACAAGTACGTGCTCCGGTGTGGCATTCCTAATGTGACGCTGCTCGGTACAGTTCGTGACTGGGAGGACGTGCGGCGCCGTCTCGAGAAGCTCGGGACCTTTGGTCCGCGTTTGGCGCGCTGGGCGAGCATGCTTCGTCGCATCGTTGATCAGTGCATCGTGGCGGCGCAAGGCACGCCGGACACGGACTTTTGGAATCGCATTTGCACCAAAATCCCAGGCGGGTCGGGGCCGACGTACATCACGGGGTGGATCAGCGCGTTTTGCGTCTTTGACCGCGACGGGCAGTGGCAAGCCGACAAGAAGCCGGCGCGATATAGCGACGACGAGTTGTACGACTATCCTTATGTCGACACGGAGGACATTCCACCGGGCTACCTCACGGTGGACGCGATTATCGATGACAATGGTGTTGTGCACAAGGCGTTTCTCTTTGCGGGCCACATGGCGTATCGCGTTGGCGACGATGAAACCTCGATCGCGCCTGTGCTTTCCTGGGCGATTGCCCTCAAGAACGGACCACCGCCACCGACCTCCGAGAAGGTATCGCGCCGGGGGTAGCTGTGCCGTATGACGGCACGGGGTGGGAAGAACGCCGACCGTCGACTTTGCGATTTCCGCTTGCAACTCGATACAATGCGTCGCCGTATGTGAGGTGGCATTCCCTTGGCAGCGCCTATCCACACCGGACAACCGACTTGTAGACTTCAATTTTGTACAAAAATGTCACGTACTTTCACGTTGTTTTCTATCGGACGTGTTTGTATTGTCCGACTATCAGTATTTAGATAATTTTAGCTAAATGCGTTTGTCCTCACAACGATCAATTGGAGTTTGTATTGCAGTATCGTCCTCACCGAACGCAATGACGCTGCAACAGACGAGTGGTGCGGGCTGGCGATAGCCCGTGGACTCAGAACGGCTAGCAAATCGTATCGTTTCGACCTCTGGCGGTGCTGTGGGGCTTACTTCCCCCTTGCTCTCATCGATATGGGCATTCCGGAGCCTTTATCGACCAATGGGGCCATGAGGTTGATGACGTCATCATTCAACGCATCACACAGCAGCTTGCCTTTCCAACGCTCTGGCTCTTTGGACATTCTTGACCGAGCTCAAACAGACAGACACGACACATGCATAGTATTCATACTAGTAATCGACTACTATGGTGCGACTCTACATCAAGGTGGCGACGACAAAGGCCATGGCAACCGATGCCACCGACATGACCGAAATGGACGTGGCAGCCGACGGCGGTGCGGTCGTCGTGACGTTCTTCTTCTTGGTGGCCGTCGGAAGCGGCGGATCGGTGGGGGCATCCGTCGGTGCATCGGTCACAACGACAGGCTCGGTCGTCGCCGTCACGTTCGGGGTTGCGACTGCTGTCGTCACGGGCGCCGTCGTGTTGGCGACCACGCTCGTTGTCGGTGCAACTGTCGTTGTCGGCACCGTCGTCGTCTTGTTGGCCGGCGTCGGCGTCTTGGTCGTCGCGTTCGTCGTCGTTGGTACCGCACTCGTCGACGGCACTGCGCTCGTCGATGGCACCACCGTGGTGGTGTTGGGCGAGCGCGTCGTCGTCGTCGGTTGCGTCGTCTGCGCGGCAACGGCGGCCGCGACAAGGAACAGCGTGAGGTACTTCATGGTGTAATTTCGAGGTGGTAAAAGGAGCAATGATATCCTTTGCAGAGCGCACTGCGAAGAGCCAGTTGCACCAGCCGACGTAAGTGCAACGGCAAAGAAGCCACTTGGGCGGTTTGACACGGCAGCGTTCAGTGCACGGTGGAATGGACGCCGCCGTTTTCGCTGTCCGGCGACGGGACACGAGCGCCCACCAGGACCAGTGAACGTCCTGCACGAGTGAATTTGCTCCACACACACCGAGTGGGTACGACGACTACGACCGGAGCAGCCACGGTGGTGGTTTGTTACATCGCTTCCGCGGGACCGGCCGACACGGAGGCGCGCGAGAGGTGGGCCGTACGCTGGATACTACTGCGGGTATGTCGCCAGTTCTTCTCCGCTCTGTCATCTCGCTGCGAGTATATGCGAGTATATCGCTCATGCAATCGCAACTTCATTGCACGGCGTGCGGGGGTCTCCAACTGGCGACAAGGGCGATCTTCTTCAGTAGACTGCCAGCCTAATCTAGTTCTACTAGGATATTGAAATGGCTCTCGTGCATGCCTTGGTGAGGGTGGAATGAACCACCAAGATATTACACTCCACCCACCCCACCGGTCGCACAGACCGGCCAGCCGTGCGCGCAGGCACGCAGCATTGGTCGACCCATTACCTACTTCCAACGAGGTCGCTGGTTTTCTTGGCCGGTGATGTGCCGTGCATTGCAGCCGTTCGCCTCTTTGTTGCAGTAACGGGTCAAGTGTCGTTGGCGAATGCGAAACGACTGAACGACTTGAATGTACTAACGATACTGGGGTAGTAAGTGTGGTGACGACAGCGCGATCTAGAATCCAGTCGCAGAGTCGTTGCCTTGCCCGCCGTAATACCGGAAAGCGACGGCGGACTGGGCGATACGGTAATATCCGCAACAATTTGACGCGCTAGCAAAATGTCATTCCTACCTCGCAGAGGCAGGGGTAGGCTAGGAATTTCCTTGGGGGTAGGTCACGCACGATATGCTGTTATAGTACGCAGGATAGTACGTCATATTCTCGCTCGTGGCTTTTACGTGAGGACTAGCGGGGCCATCGAGTCGATCCTCCAAATGGCGCTATATAATTGTCCAGACGCGCCTAGAAGCGTTATTGGCATTGTTCAACGAGACGAGAATAGCGGGAGACACGAAAAGCTTCCGTAGTTTTCTCCAACAATACCAAACTACTCGGGGCAACTTCCGTGTCGGTGTCCGCCGTGCCAGTGGTAGCCGAGGCGGGTTAGCTATTTGACTGACACTACCAATTTGGAAATGGCTTGAGCTTGCTTGCTCTGCGCCTGGATTTTGGATCTTGGATTTTGTGCTTGCTTTTGGATCGTGGTCTTCTAGATCGCTCCGACTTGCGCGGAAAACCACTCCACTTCTTGGAAATGGCTCTTCTAGCCAAGGTTTAGCTCGGACGATGTATCGAGCAGGGAATTATCAACGGCAACGCCTTGCAGCAGCGATCAATGCTGCGAGCCATTGCAAGCCGAGCCGTATGTACGTTGGGGTTTGCGTCAAGCTTGCACTCAACGTATTACCAGCTACTCGTTACTGGCAACAGTCCATTAT